CCTGCATGTATTCCTGTTCGTTCTTCACACCCCATAAGCTAGTGCTCAAGTCTTTGATCATATCATCCAACTTTCCATGATTTCCCTCTCCATCTTGACCACCTTCCCCACCAGCATTATCCTCTGCCTGTTTTCGATTTTCATCTATGTCCATATTAAACATCACCACTTTTGGTGTCATCGTGCTCTTCTGATTACTAAAGCAGTAAGTGTAAACTCCTGACGTATGAGCAGCAAATGTATACTTTCCACTGCTTTCTTGTTCGCCTTGATAAATCATCCTACCATCAGGACCAACTATTTTAACATCTATATCCAAGAATCCACCTTCTGCTATTTCAAATGTGAGGCCTGCAAATAGATTACATAAAATTATATAAAAAGGTATTTTCTTAAATAACAATCATAAAAATTAATAAGTATCTTAAGCCGACATATTGGACAAAATTAAATGCAATCATTTAAGTTTGCTTTGGTTTACAACTAGCAAAGTACAAAATAAAATTCAAATATATATTATATAAAATTTATACATTTCACGCAGATGAATTCTCCTAAAACAAAATTAATTTTCACACAAAATCTCATCCAAATTAAGGAATACAAACGTAAATAAAAATAATCGTGAAAAAAATCAGCAAGATAGTATTCATCGCGTAACAATTACTATGAACAGTCGATATTAATCGCAATTAAATTAACTGAGACCAATGTCGCCGAAAAGTGCTCGCTTAAATCGCCACGGAAGCAGCAGAACGTAGTAGAAAACTAACCCATCTTGGTGCCGAATTCAACTTTGTCGAAGAAACATTCCTCGGCGTGGGCATCCACGGTAATAAAGTAGGAGCGTACGCTGACAATGGAAATGACGAGGAATACGCACGTGCTGAGCCACCTCATTTTCTTAGCTTGAATTTTACTGTACAATCATAAAAATGACATATGCCTATCTCCTCTCGTGCACCGATCGCTCGCCACTTCACAGCGGCATGTTGCTATCACAGCGCCACGTATACACGTCGTCACGAATGGGACATCCAGAGACAGACGTGGAACGCGTCATGGAAATTTGCTAGGCCGTGGCGTCCTGCCTATCGCAGCCATTTACAGAAAATATAATGGTTTATAATATTTTGTTGGAAGTCTTCTTCGCTGAGATAGGACTATTACTTCAAATTCAAAAATATAATCCAATTATACATGCGAAAAAAATATAAACAGTTTTCGGAGCAAAACCGCGCGTATTAATCATTAATGCAGCTTAAAACATAAAAATAATACTGTAAAAGAAATCTGAAGAATAAGACAGATCTCTCCAAATATAAGAGATAAAATATTAAATGTCAAATAAGTTAATAGATAAAATTTTTCATGCATTTTTAATTAAGAAATTAAATATTCACAAATTGAGACAACAATTGTTTAATGTAAATCAGCCTTTATTCAAATTAGGATAAATAAATAAAGATAGGATGAATATGTCGACGATTATATATGTAAATTTGGCGAAAGATGAGAAAAAGTTGTGAGAGAATAAATTTCTTATAAAAATATTAAGACACGCGCATGTTAAGTTAATTTTGACTAATAAGAATTTATAAATAGCAATTATGCTTGTGAACAGAGACCTCTGTAATTGTTGGATAAGAAATACGGGAGACGCGTGTATCAATATTGGATTGATAATGATAGGCCGAAATTTATCAGTGTTTTTTCCGTGGAGGAAATCTATCGGTTTACCTCACGTGGCGAAGAATCTTCATTCTTCCTGTCGCCAATGTTTACGTAGCGATTTGCTGTTGTAGGTTTTCTCATGAAAGATATTTCAAATCGATTCCGATGCATTTCCATTTCTAACCCTTGGTTCTCTTCTTTAAGAACTGTACCAATAAAACTCGCCTATATCTCGTATGAGACGTTGAAGGAGAGCGAGCAAAATGCAAAAGAACCGATTATAATAATGCATGGTCTCTTCGGATCGAAAAACAATTGGAACTCGCTGTCGAAAGCGATTCACTTAAAGACCAAACGCAAGGTAGTTTTCTCTGGTAATTTACCATCTTTCTATTTAAGGGATAGGACTAAATTAGGCTAAATCTTTTGTCTTTATTTTGTCTCTTAGTTCTTTATTAATATCTATAAAGGTAACGCTTTGTGTTACGCTTAGAAAATAAATGTTTAGGTCATAGCAATAGATGCTAGGAATCATGGCGATTCTCCGCATTCATCCACTATGTCATATAAAGACATGGCAGGGGATATGATTCAACTTTTGAATGACCTAGACTTCGATAGAGCTATCCTAATTGGCCACAGTATGGGTGGTTCGGCTGTTATGTATACCGCTTTAAATTTTCCCCAATATGTTGAGAAGCTGACAGTCATCGACATGTCTCCTGTGAGAGCTAGTCCCAATCTTTTGCAGATGGAAAGGATTTTCGAGGTCATGCGTCTGGCGATAATGGATGGAAATCTTACCTTGTCAAAGGCGCGTAAAATGGTGGACCAACAACTGGCCAAATCTATCGAGTCCGACTCATTACGTCAGGTAATAATCTCCTTTCTTTTCTTCTTGATATGATAATTATATTTGCTTTGTATTCATATAGTTCCTATTGACGAATTTGGTGGAAGCAGACACGGGAAAGTACAAATGGCGAATTAATTTACCAGTGCTAGAGCAGGCATTCTCGACTCAGATAGCTGTATTTCCTAATGTAGGCTCCAAAACATACATGGGCCCCACGTTGTTTGTTGGTGGCGCTAATAGTGATTATATTCAAGTAAAAGATCATAATGCAATCAAGAAACTGTTTCCTATGGCAGAATTTCGTTACATTGATGGAGCAAGTCACTGGGTTCATGCGGATAGGCCTGAGGAGTTCATCGAACTTGTAACAAATTTTATAAACAATCAGACATCGTGATGTTCGTTAAAATGTAAAGAAAAAATTGCGAGATATCCTTTGTAAATATATACGTGTATTTTGGATGAACTTCACAATATTACAGAACAATGTGAAAAGTATTCAAATAATACATGGTTTGTGTAAGAATGAAGAGAAATTGCAAGTTATGTGATAGCGGCGAAAAAGCGCCATTGAGCGTCGAAAAACGCAATTCCTATCTGATTCAGTTTACCCTTCATCGCACATATCGCTGTGAAAATTGTATAGGCTGTATTTCAAACATTAGGGAGCTCATTGAATTGGATGTAATTCCATTTAGAGGCCACGCATATCAATGTGCTGTATGTGCTTAAATAACACGATACTTGTTAGCAAATGTATCATTTAAGGACAGATCATCATTGAAATATTCTCTAAAACTAAATGCACTCTGATTTGGTAATTTATAAATAAATAACAATTTTTTTTATACTGAAGAAAAATAGGAACTATTCAATTTGTCAACAAATTAAGTTTAGCATTAAAGCGTTTCCGTTGCAACGATTCGCGTGTTCAGAGATCAGTGGTGATCCGTGAAATTTTTAAGCTCGTTTTTTTTATGCCGAAAGACAAAGCGTCAAACGCTAGCCGAACGTGCGGACTGATTCATCGTTGCTATAACACATAGTTGTGATACACTATAATCCTATATATCACTTGCAATAATACTAATCAACAAACCACGCATTACAATACGTCGTGCGTTGTGTGTCCACCGTTGTATGCATAGTCAGCCTTATTGTGCATCACAAGCTGATTGTCAACGAAATAAAACGAATCTGATCGCGTTTCAAATGGATTTGCAATCATCTCGGAAACTGAAAAGACATTTTGTTTATATTAGAATTGATCCTTTGTCATACATATGTCAGTCGTGTATCATGTCATTGAATCTATTAGAATTCCCTTTAGTAACTTACCTAGATCTGCAGGCAACGTTGGAAACTCATAAATGTGTTCACATGTGTTTTTACTATTTGGTATGCAAAATCCAAATTGAAAGTCAAAGGTTTTTAGCAATCTGTCACGGAAAAAGTGCCGTTCTATCATCCGGAAGTTATTAATCGGCTTAGGCCCCACCAGAAACTCGATTGTTGCCCCGACCGTCTTTAACTTCAGAAATTGCGGTGTGAATTGATACCGCACAAAGCGTCCCGTATTTGCATCTTCAGATCCAATTTCTTCACAGTCTGGCTCTGGCTCGTGGTGAGTGTCACATTCTGGCAAATGCAACGAAAAGAAATTAAAAATTATCATTTCAGACATTAATATTTGAATCTTGATTTAAGACACAAATACAAATAATAAATATAAAAATTAAAAAAAAAAAAAGTGATCAGTTACTCACCACTAGCAGGAGGCTTTGTTATCTCAAAGAGCACAGCACCAGTTTCTAAATCCCTGATCTGAAATCTCGTGAAGTCTATGTCATAGATGTTGGCTTCAGGGGAACAGAGGTACTCTAAAAAATATCGTTATTCGTTATGATTCACAGGGGGGGAGAACGCTAATTAGCCAAGAGATGGAATTTAAATCCAAAACGAAGACTCACTGTCCGTGATAGTGGGTAATCGGAGCACCATCTCCGGCGTTATCGGACCGCCCTCGACATCCCCGTCGGTGCCGTTCTCCGCGCTGTACGGCACGATCGTTCGCGCCTCGCTCGACTTGCTTTCGCTGTCCACGCTCATAATTTATTCACGGGACCGAATACGTATGTACGTATGTACGAGAGAGGCAACGTTCGGCATTCGGTCGAACGAATCGGGATCCTCGATTGAGCCGGGACTCGCACAGCGATTGACAGCGACCCGTCAATCTCGCGCACTCCGTTGCACGTTCACCGCCTCGCCGTCGGCTCGCTCGTTGCGTCGCCACGGCTCATCATCCTAGACCCTTCGGCGGTCATTTATGGCCTTCGTGTTTCGCGAGCGTTCCCAGATTTCCAAGTGTAAACATCCTGTGGTGAGACAACTCATGGAGATACCAAGTCTTACTGCCTATATTTTTTTCGTATGTCGTAACTCTTGAGAAAATTACATGGCGGATGGCGCTATTTTCCGAGCAAGAACGAGTGAGATTCACGAACGAAAAGGACGACGTGGCGAGAGTTCGATTGGCTGTGCCATGTTGCTACCCCGATCTAACCTAACCTTCGTCTTGTAAGCTAACCTTTAATTACTCTCCCGACAGCAGTGCCAGGAATGCCAGGTATTTGTATACGTTGGTTATGCTTTGGAGGTTATGTTCGAATCTGAAAGAAATATTTATTTTTCTATTAATTATATTATAGAATAGCACGAGTATCGTTAAGGACGATAACACGAAGATACGATAATTTCGGTGTTTGCTACGCGAGTATATGTGAGAGACAGTCGTGCTGCGGAGTAACGCTAGATCGTTAGATCACAGATTTGAAATGTGAGTATATACGTCGAATTAAATCCACTGCGTGGATGCGAACACGTTGAAGCCTTCTTCCATTGTAAAAAATGAAGCCGATGATGATGGTACCGTGTCGCAAAATGGAATTCACGTAGTGTTACGTGAGTGAATTTTATCTCGCTACTTGATCGTTGCTTAATCTTGTGTAATTACGACGTTAAGCAGCGTTGATTAATCAAGAATATGTGATACTCTTTTTCAGGGCGTTCAACGACGGGTATCTGTTTGGAACCGAGATTGCTATGTTTTATACCTTTATGATTTACACATCTTACGGTAAAGCAATGTCGAATACATTGATGCAGCAATTTGTCCAGCGGCTCAAGTCGAGAAATGAGGAGGCACGTAACAAGGCGGCACGCGATTTGTGCCTGTATGTCAAAAGGGAATTGCGGGAAGCGTCACAAGAAGAGATCACAGCTTTCATGGATGAATTTAATCATCACATATTTGAAATGGTATCCGCTTCTGATATCAATGAGAAGAAGGGCGGTATATTAGCCATAGTTTGCCTTATAGGTGCAGATGTAGGTAATTTTAATACACGAACGGTACGATTTGCCAATTATCTTAGAAACTTGATACCTTCTAACGATGTGGGGGTTATGCAATTAGCTGCAAAGACTGTTGGAAAGTTAGCGCTAGTTTCCGGTACTTATACAGCCGAATATGTCGAGTTCGAGGTAAAACGTGCCTTTGAATGGCTTGGTGCGGACAGACACGAGGGCAGAAAGCATGCTGCCGTACTTGTACTGAGAGAACTCGCTGTCTCTGTACCAACGTACTTTTTCCAACAAGTTACACCGTTTTTCGAATTGATATTTAATGCTATACATGATCCTAAGCCAGCTGTACGGGAGGGTGCGGTAGAAGCTCTAAGAGCAGCCCTGGTAGTCACTGCTCAGAGAGAAACTGCAAAGCAGATGCACAAGTCTCAATGGTATAAACAATGCTACGACGAGGTGATAGATGGATTCGAGGAGATTCATACGAAGGAGAAGGGCATTAATAGGGACGATAGGATACATGGCTCATTATTAGTATTAAATGAGCTTTTGAGATGCAGTAATGTTCAATGGGAAAGGAATTATGAGGCTTTAATGGAAAGATTGAATGGCTCTACGCAAAATGAAAACGATATACTTTCCCTGATGCCGCGCTTGAAGACGACGATCGGTTCCAAGTGGTCCGGATCTCAGAACGCTAACGCGTCTCAACATACATTGTATCCGGCACACGAATCGACCGTTTGCAGATGCCTGATGCAAGAGAGACTGGACGATATTTATAATGACGTTATGAATCAAAAGATATCTAGAAATCCACACATCCAACACGCCCTCATGATGCTGTTACCAAGACTCGCTGCGTTTAACAAGGAGAAGTTCATAAAGGATCATCTGAAAGAGTCCTTGGCATATCTTCTGTTGATCCTGCGTAGCCGTGAAAAGGATCGTTACGCCGCTTTCACATCGATTGGTTTCATAGCCGTAGCAGTGGAAGATGCAATAAATCCATACTTACCGAAAATCATGGAAGTAATCAAAAGCTTGTTGCCGTCTAAGGAAACTCCTAGCAAAAAGCGCACTCCTCTGGAACCGGCGGTATTCGTTTGTATCACTCTACTTAGCCATGCAGTCAAACAGGTCATAGCTTCCGACGTCAGAGATTTGTTAGAGCCTATGTTTCAAACAGGATTAAGCCCAATTTTGACCACGGCGCTCAGAGAGTTGGCGCATAGTATTCCATCTTTACAGGTGGATATATCTCAAGGTCTCTTGCGAATGTTGTCGCAGGTTTTGATGCAAAAGCCATTGAGGCATCCCGGTGCACCGTGGACAGCAACCAGTCCGAATTCCGCGGCGGATGACGTTTCGTCGACGGTACTCGCATTAAAAACTCTAGGTACCTTTAATTTTGACAATAATCCATTATTACAGTTTGTAAAGAGATGCGCGGATCACTTTTTAACGTCGGAGCAGGCAGAAGTCCGATTGGAAGCTGTGAAAACCTGCTCTAGACTGTTGAGATTAACACTGAATCAGTCCGGTCCGACAGTAACCACTACCGTTTCGACTGTCCTGAGTAAATTGTTGGTGGTGGGAATAACCGATACAGATCCAGATGTACGTCTATGGGTATTGGCCTCACTGGATGATTCTTTTGACGTGCAGCTGGCGCAAGCGGAGAATTTGTCCGCGTTGTTTATTGCCATGAACGATGAGATGTTCGAGATCAGAGAATTAGCAGTTCGTACTGTTGGACGACTCAGCACGCTGAATCCTGCTTACGTTATGCCATCGTTAAGGAAGACTCTAGTGCAATTCCTGACGGAATTGGAACACTCGGGAATGGGTCGTAATAAGGAGCAAGCTGCTCGAATGTTGGATCATCTTGTCGTTACTGCGCCGAGACTCGTGCGACCATACATGGAGCCGATTCTGAAGGTTCTTGTCCCGAAGTTGAAAGAATCTGATCCGAATCCCGGTGTAGTGTTAGCTGTTCTGCGCGCAATCGGCGATCTGGCGGAGGTCAACGGCGCCGAGATGCAGCAGTGGATGTCCGAACTTTCGGCAATATTACTGGAAATGTTGGTGGATGCCAGTTCTCCTGAGAAACGTGGAGTAGCATTGTGGGTATTCGGTCAATTGGTCGGCAGCACAGGTCACGTGGTAAAACCATATATACAATACCCGTCTTTACTGGATGTTCTCATCAATTTCCTCAAAACGGAACAACAACCGATCATCAGGAGAGAAGCCATCAGAGTGCTCGGACAGTTGGGTGCATTGGATCCTTATAAACACAAGATGAACCTCGGGCAAATTGACTGCCAGTTAGACACGCTCACCTCGATGGCGGATACCAAGAGTGACGTGGAGAACACTCAGGATTTGACGACCAGTGAGATGCTGGTGAATATGTCACCGTCCACATTGGAAGAATTTTATCCAGCGATCGCCATCACGACGCTGATGCGAATTATTCGCGAGCCAACCTTATCCCAGCATCACACCATGGTGGTGCAAGCGGTGACCTTCATATTCAAGAGTCTCGGAATAAAGTGTGTGCCGTACATCTCTCAAGTGATGCCGAGCTTTCTGAATGTCGTGCACACGGCGGACATGAATTTCCGAGAGTTCTTGTTCCAGCAGCTGGCCGTTCTGATCGCCATCGTGAAACAGCACATACGAAACTATCTGGACGATATATTTACCTTGATCAAGGAATTTTGGACCGTAAATAGCCCTTTGCAAAGCACGCTGATTCTTCTAGTTGAGCAAATCGCAATGGCTCTCGGTGCGGAATTCAAGATATATCTGCCACAGCTGATGCCACCGATACTCCGAGTTCTGACACATGACACCAGCAAGGATCGCGCGGTGACGGTGAAGCTGCTCCTAGCTCTGCAGACATTCGGGAACAATCTGGACAATTATCTGCATCTCGTGCTGCCGCCGATCGTTAAACTGTTTTACGCAAACGATTGTCCGATAGCCGTGAACAAGGTCGCGCTCGAGACGGTAGATCTTCTCGCGGATACGTTGGACTTTACGGATTTCGCGTCGCGAATCGTTCATACCTTGGTACGTACATTGGACCAGTGTCCAGAGTTAAGGGGCACGGCTATGGACACGCTCTGTGCTGTTGTAATGCAGCTGGGTAAGAAGTATCAGATTTTCATCGTACTGGTTCAGAAGGTCATGACTAAGCACAAGATAGTCAATGCGCGATACGACGTTCTGGTGGATAAGATACTCACGGACTCGACCGCGGCGGACGGCGAAGATTTCTTGCTGATGAGAATGCGACACTCGCGCAACAAGAATCGCGAACTATCGTTAACGCCTTCGGAGACGACCACGATCAAGAGGCTGCACGTGTCGGCCTCGAACCTGCAGAAGGCATGGACGGCGACGCGCCGTGTGTCCAAGGACGATTGGCTCGAGTGGCTAAGATGTTTCTCTATCGGTCTCCTCAAGGAATCCCCGTCTCCGGCTTTGCGATCCTGTTGGGCATTGGCGCAAACCTACGCTGTATTACCACGCGATCTATTCAATGCGGCTTTTGTCTCGTGCTGGACGGAACTGAATGAGAACTACCGAACGGAATTGATACAGACTCTGCATCAGGCATTAATGGTTCCCGATCTGCCCGCCGAAGTGACGCAGACCATTCTAAACTTGGCCGAGTTCATGGAGCATTGTGACAAGGGTCCTCTGCCATTGGACAATAAGATCCTCGGTGACACAGCGATGCATTGTCGCGCGTATGCCAAAGCATTACACTATAAGGAGGATGAATTCCACAAGAGCAGAAACAGCAGTGTCTTTGAGTCCCTGATTTCTATTAACAACAAACTTCAGCAGAAGGAAGCGGCCGAGGGCTTGTTGGAGTACGTGATGAATCACAATCAGCAGGATCTTAAGGTTCAAATACGTTGGTATGAGAAACTTCACAACTGGGACAAGGCGTTGCAGTTGTATCAGGAACGTCTCGAGAGTGATTCCGCCGATGTAGAGTCCACCTTGGGGGAGATGCGTTGCTTGGAGGCTCTCGGCGAATGGGGCCAGCTTCACGATGTCGCTACGAAACAATGGTCGAATCAGTCTGACGATATTAAGCAGAGAATGTCGAGAATGGCGGCGGCCGCGGCGTGGGGTTTGAGTCAGTGGGAAAGTATGCAGAAATATGTATCGCTGATACCAAAGGACACCCAAGACGGAGCGTTTTACAGAGCGGTACTGGCGATCCATGACGAACAGTATACCGTCGCGCATCAGCTCATCGACAGCGCCAGGGATCTGTTGGACACAGAGCTGACCGCCATGGCCGGCGAGAGCTACCAGCGAGCGTACAACGCCATGGTGGAGGTGCAAAAATTGGCAGAGCTGGAGGAAGTAATTCAGTTTAAGCTGGTGCCCGAGCGCAGAGCGGCCATCAAAGCCATGTGGTGGGAACGGCTTCAGGGTGGACAGAAGATTGTGGAGGATTGGCAGAAAATCATACAGGTGCACACACTAGTAGTCTCGCCGCAAGATGATATGTATACGTGGCTCAAGTACGCCAGTCTCTGCCGGAAGAGCGGTAGCTTGATGCTGTGTCACAAGACATTGGTGATGTTAATGGGCACGGATCCGTCCTTAACTCCGGATCAACCGTTACCGACGACTCATCCTCAGGTGACTTTTGCCTATTGCAAGCACCTGTGGGTCGCAAACAAACGCGAGGAAGCTTACAGTCAACTGCAACGGTTCGTGCAAACCTATTTGCAGCCAGCGACGGCGGCGGTAATAAATCAAGAGGACGAGAAGCAGCACGAGAGCAAAAAGAGATTGCTCGCCAGGTGTTACCTCAAGCTTGGCGAGTGGTTAGAAGCCTTGCAGGGTATAAATGAACATTCCATTCCTGCGGTACTATCTTACTATGCCGCGGCGACAGAACACGATCCCACTTGGTACAAAGCTTGGCACGCTTTTGCTTATACCAATTACGAGACCGTTCTATTTTATAAGCATCAGCAAGGTAGCGATAACGCGTCGGCGGAGACTGCATCCGGCAACGGAGATCGCAGTAATCTCTCTAGCTCGCAATATATATCTCATCTTTATACTGTCCCAGCCGTGGAGGGATTTTTCAGATCCATCAACTTGTCGGACGGCAACTCTCTGCAGGATACCCTTCGTCTGCTCACGTTGTGGTTTGATTACGGCCAGTGGCCGGAAGTATATGACGCTGTTGTCGAAGGCATAAGATTAATAGAAATAAACACTTGGTTGCAAGTGATTCCACAACTCATAGCCAGAATCGACACTCAGAGGTCGCTGGTCGGCCGAGGCATACATCATCTTCTTATAGATATAGGAAAGACACATCCTCAAGCTTTGGTTTATCCATTAACGGTTGCTTCAAAAAGCGCTAGTCATGCGAGGAAGAATGCGGCGAATAAAATCCTGAAAAGTATGTGCGAGCACAGTCCGACGTTAGTTCAACAAGCCATGATGGCGAGCGATGAGCTCATCAGAGTCGCGATCTTGTGGCACGAATTATGGCACGAAGGTCTGGAGGAAGCCAGTAGATTGTACTTTGGTGAAAGAAATGTTAGAGGCATGTTCGACACGTTGGAGCCTTTGCACGCTATGCTCGAAAGAGGGCCGCAGACTCTAAAAGAGACCTCTTTCAATCAAGCTTACGGAAGAGATTTAATGGAAGCACAGGAATGGTGTCACAGATACAAGGCATCCCGGAATGTGAGAGATTTGAATCAAGCTTGGGATTTGTATTATCACGTGTTCCGGAGGATATCTCGACAACTGCCACAATTGACCAGTCTGGAATTGCAATACGTTAGTCCGAAATTACTCATCTGCCGAGATTTGGAGTTGGCTGTGCCGGGAAGCTACAGTCCTGGCCAGCCTATCGTCAGAATAGCAAGCATTCATAGCTCTATGCAGGTGATAACTAGCAAACAGAGACCAAGAAAGCTGTGCATTAAAGGTCAGTTGCTAGTCGAAAGTCAATTATATAAAAATATATCATGAGTGCATAATAACATTAACAATTTATCTTACTATGCACTTTGCAGGTAGCAACGGGAAAGATTACATGTTTCTCTTGAAAGGTCATGAGGATCTAAGACAAGATGAGAGGGTAATGCAATTATTCGGTTTGGTGAACACTCTCTTGTTACACGACCCGGATACTTTCCGAAGAAATCTTACTATTCAAGTAAGAGTTTGTCGCATAATTTGATAAGAAATTATACGAATCATATTGCAATAATATAATTTTACATTTAGAGATATGCCGTGATTCCATTGTCTACTAACAGTGGGCTCATCGGTTGGGTGCCGCATTGTGATACGCTTCATACGCTTATTAGAGATTACAGGGAGAAGAAGAAGATATTACTGAATATCGAACACAGAATAATGTTACGAGTGAGTGCTTTATAAA